CACCATGGATGTTTCACTGACACTAACACTGGCTGGTCAGGAAAGGTTCTTGATGCACACATCTTTAGGAATACAGGATTTCTTAAGAAGCTGCAAGCAGGGACATTGTTGCCAGACTGCCATATCCACATTGGTGGGGTTGCCATGCCAATCATGATACTCACTGAGGGAATCTTTAATTGCACACTTTGACAGGGGGCTGCAGCCAGTGTACTGCCGGGTGTGGTATTTTGTTTTACTTTGTGAATTTGCATTATCTCTGTATTATAAGATAAAGTAAGACAATCATGGCTTTCACAAAATAGAACTCTATTATGCAGAAATAAACAACAAATGAATTACAGTATTAATTCAGTATACAAAATACAGTATAATGTGGGCTGCATCCCACATCAGCATATGTGTACTCATAGCAGTTCTCCTTATTGTTCATTGGAATCATGTGCTGGTGCCTTCAGGGGGTATGTGGTCCAGGCCCCGGGAAGAAGGAATTGTCCATACAACATAATGGCTGCTGTGATGTAGGCTTTGGGATGTTTTGCTCCATAATGCTTTGGAGCACCTGTGTTTCCTATCTAACGAGCTGCATGAGGTCTTGGTGCACATTTCAATGCATAGCTGCTGACTTTTATTTTTCCTGTGGGGTGCTCCATCCCCACTCCTCCCCGCCCCTACTCTGCCCTTTCCCCAAGGCCCCACCCTCACTCCACCTCTTCCCACCCCCCTCACTCTACCCCCTTCCGCCAAGGCCCTGCCCTCTCTCCGCCTTGCTCTTGCGATACTCTGCCCCCTCCCTGAGGCCCTCGCTGCTCTCTGCCCTCCCCCAAACCCCTTCCCCAGTCGCTTATCAGCTGTTTGGCGGCACCTTGGATTAGCTGATCGGGAGGCACTGCCAAACAGCTGTGGCAAGTGGGTGCTAAGCACCCACTATTTTTTTTTCTGTGCCTGCTCCAGCCCCAGAGCACCCACGGAATCAGCACCTATGTCTCAGACCACCTCTCTGTCCTTCTGCCTTTCCCCTGTTTGTGTTCCCTGGTTTCACAGGTTTCGAACTTGGACCTCTACAGAAGTTCCAAGAACAGGTCCTCTCCTGTCTCCACCCCCCTGCCCCCCGATCAACGTCAGTCTTTCAGCAGGCATGGCCGGGGTGGCCCTCAAGAATGTCCCAGCCGAGCGGTCACTGATAAACAACCAGAAAGGCAGCCATTGTTAGATTTAAGGGGTTAGCAGACATCAAAAAATGAATGCCACAGCTGCTTAAAATATTTAACATAAAGATCTGTGTAAAAAAAAATATGAACAGGATCACAGTCACATCTGCTTGCTTCAGGCTCATGCACCAGCACATGCCATGGTGAGCGTATAGGGGTACTTTTGAAACCCTTTAGGAGTGATGGGTGCAGGGCTAGATGTGCGGTCTAGGGTAAATGTAGGGATAATGCAGTAAACACTGTTGAACTTTGGCAGTGGGATCCTGGCAGCTATATCGCTTTCGAGGATACAAAAGGCCCAGAGAAAGCAATTGCTCAAGATGGCTCGAGGTTGTCTGGGCCCATACACAGCTGACTTCTTCACAGTGATCATACCTCTGGAGCTTATTGGAGAGTGTCTTATTGCAGCGGGAGAAACAAGGCTGCTCTTCCTAGAAATGCACAGGCAAAGATCAGCGTACTTGCTGAAAGTTTCCCCAACACTGTGCCAGAGGACAAAAAAGGATGTCTGGGCCAAAGTAAACCAGAAACTCTGCAAGCGGAGGAGAGTTGTGGTAGTTGGCTATTTCTGTGAGCCAGTCCAAACCCCATGAGCCAGCAGCGGTTTCTGCCTCTTTCCTGAATGTATGCACAGCATGCAAATATTTTGTTTTGTACTTGGATTTTCAGACATGAAAGGCAAAATATTTTGTGTATGGTCTAGAAAACCTTCATCTCATAAGCTTACAAGAATATTTCTGCAACATCATGTAGTGAATGTCCAGGTACCAGATTGCTTGCAAGCATTGTTTTGTATTTTTGATGTATTTATTTTAAATGCTCAGGTATTGGTTTGTGTATATGTCTTTTCTGGTTTTATTTTTATTTTAAAAATGTTTTTCCTTTGAAAGGCTTCTTATCAAAGGCTTCTGCCAAAGCATGTGTTTGGGAATGTTTTTTGGTATCTTAAAGAATTTCTGTTTTTTTTTTTTTTGACTATTGCTGCCTTAAAATAAACCACCTACTTTAAAACAGAATCCCTTTGTTCTCTGCTACTTGCAGTTGGCAGCCATTTTGAGAGGGAGATAGGGGCCAGATAAAGGGAAGTGAAGTGTTGGGGATCATAAAGAGAGCTTTAAAAAGTGTGCATTAATAGGGGCAGTAAAATACGCCTATCTGAGTCCCTATCCCTTTCCTTGATGTGTTCTGTCTCTGGGTCCAGCTGCATCTCAAATAGCTCCTGGTTATCTGTGGGCTCTGCATCCTCCATATCCCCCTCCTCAATGAACTCTTCCTCACTGTGCATTTCTGGGGTTTCTTCTGCTGGATGTTGCGAGGTGTCCACTGTCAGAGGTTGGTGATGGGGTCCCAGCTCAGTATGACATCCAAACTCTGTCTAGTAGAAGCATCTCAGGGGGACAGCGCCAGACGAGGGTTGACACATTTCCAATGGTTGGTAACCCAACCCCTGAGGCCCTGCCCCCTGCCTCGCTTCTTCCCCTGAGGCCCCGCCCCGGCTCTGCCTCTGCACACCACATGCTGTTGCCGCGAGCCTGGCCCCAGAGGTGGTGGCAGCGGCTGCTCTGATCTCCTTCCTTCTGCTTAGGGTTGTCATAGATTAAAAAAACAAACAAACCTGACATCGTGGCTTGTCAAACTCGGACACACAAGCCAAAACCTGGACTCTCCGAGTGGAAACCGGACAGGTGGCAACCCTGCACTGGACTATTTGTCACCTGCCTTTGCCCAGTCTTGGAATTGTCCCTGTCATACCCCAGCTTCTGCATCTTCTTCGCAATGTCCAAATAAACATCCAGGCAGCAGCAGCGGGAGATTTAGTTGTAGCTTTATGTGGAACCATACCTGTCGGCTTGCAAAGATGGGCTAACAGGAATAGAGATATTTCCAAAACATCCTGAGTGTTTTAAATGTGAGAATGGGGAGGCTGGGATTCCAGAAACCATGACCCTGGGCAGCAGAGAGCAAGGATTCAACCAGAGGAGTCACATGTGAGATTACTGCCAGGACTGTTTGTGTCCTCCACTTTACTGATCAATAAGAATTCAAGTGGTGCATAGGCATTCAAGAAGTCAGCCCCCAGATTTCTACAGTGTGGCCTTGGCATCTTCCTCTCTATTGCAGAAGTGCAGCCACTCAGATCAGGATGACCTGTGGTTTCTGCAGGCTGCAAGTCCACATTAAACAGCTACATTCTGGTTTATTTTTTTTGCAGTTTGAATGCATTCCTTAGGCTTCTGACAAGTGACCAGTTTGAGGGTTCAGTAGCAAAAGTTTGTGTGCCCTGAGGTAACATGATCAGGCCCTTCTAACTAACTTCCTGTGCCAGCACAGCCCTGCTCCTCCATTGCCCAGGAGTGGGGAAGTTGAGAGAATGGAGGAACTGGGCAGAGGTATGATGTAAGGCTGGCAGGGGACACTTGTAACTGGGCCTGAGAAAGTTAATGTGTATGTAATGCCGATAGACCCTGGTCATCTGCGGGCAGGATCGAACCTTGAGCCTCTGGAGCTTAGTGCGTGAGCTTCTATAGCATGAGCTAAAAGCCAACTGCCTGTTAGCTAAAGCGGTAGAGCAGACTTATTTAACTCTCTTTCTAAGTGGTCTTGGTACCACTAGATGGGACAGAACACCACACCATGGAGGTATGTGGGTTACATGTTGAGCTGGTAAGAGTGTTGAAGGCTCCTCCACCCCAGGAGCTGCTAGCATGACCCTCTGGGCTTTTTTCCCCGGCCACAGTCCCAGAGGGTACTCTTATACTTGGAGAAGTGGAAGCGTCTAAAGCGGGTAGCCCTCCCTTTTGTAGCGGGGGAGGCTCCGAGTGAATACTGACCACCATCATGTATTTAAAGGTCACAGCTTTTTTGTAACCCTGACCCATGTTGTGTGACTGGGGTTGGGAAATAAAGGCTGGTCTCTTAACAGCCCTCCTGTGTGTTTGCAGCGCGAGGGTCTGAATCTCCCTGTAGAAGACGCAGGTGGTGGCAAATTATCATAGCTGCTATGAAACAGCCTCTTTGGAATGGCCAGTTTCTGCTTAATGGTCAAACAGGACCTGGCCAGTAATTCATGCTCTTGCAACCAAGAAGCAGGCTCTTCTATGGGGAAGGGGGAGAGAGACAGATTTAAATATGTTATCTTTATTTTCAAGTAAAACACAAATTATTAAATTGCTTCTTGGGAGCCTCCCAGTTGTTTTCAATAATATATACACCTGGAGATATAAAAACATACTTCACATTCCTTCCAAATGATAATATTTACAGTTATGCTGTGCAATAATTGTAGTAAATATATAAAGTTTTGGAGGGCTATCCATTTTGAATCATAGCACCTGTTCATGGAGAAATCCTATTTTTTCCCAGTTAGCTGCTGTCAGAAGTTTTTTAATACTGGTTAGATTTCTTGGTTTCATTTTAGAAAGATATCTATATAAATTGTGAATTCTCCTGTTTATTTCCAAATTAAAACACTCTGTGTGTGTGTAAATACATAATATTTATTTATTTGATTTATTCTTAGGTTAAGAATTATGAGTTATCTGAAGCTGCTTACCTTATAATGCAGTCAGGAATTGCTTCCCAAAACAATGATGATATTGTCTGGACTGCCTTTGTCACTAGTAAATTTTTGAAGAAAAATGACAGCAATTTTAGAGTCTATGAAGGGCAAAGAGGTAGTGGCCTACTTAGTGATGCTAAATTGAAATGGCTGCCTTAAGGGTGTTGAATTTCTTCCCCTTTTAAGATAAATAAAGGAAAATGTAATAATAATTGCTTTTAATTTTGCAGGCAGGCAGCATTAGGCGTGAAACGACCTTCACTACATTTCAACAGGATGACCTAAAAAGTGACATCAGTCAAAAATTACCAGACCAACAGTTTCTCCTGTTGGCCATGAGGGAGGAAGATTTAAAAACTGCGGACACCAAAAAAACAAACAGAATTCATGAGCACGAAAAAGAAAACACTCGTTCTGTCTGTCTTCTTGAACAGAAACGTAAGGTTGTTTCTTCAAATATTGATGTGCCTCCAGCAAGGTAAGGACAGACTTTTAAAAGCATGTTTTGTTTTGTCTTTTAATGGAAGAGGGGAGGAAAGTTTGATTACTGGTACTGTTGGCATAGTGAGGCTAATTGTCATTCTCCAGCAGGTCATACTAAAGCATTAAATCGTTCTTCTGAAGTGTCTGCTGGAGAACTAAACATACCAATAACAAAAAACGGAAACTGAAAGCATTTGAACCTTACCAGCATGTGTTGCTTCTGCTCCCTCTCTGAATGGTTGTGCAGGGTATAGTGAATTTCAATCCACTTTGCTGCACTGCTAGTAGTGTGCTCTGGAAAAGATTCTTTAAAAAAGAGAAACAAATATTGAGTGACAATAAAGGGAGGTGGGGGAGAGCAAAATGGAGATGGAATCGTATTAACAGAGAAATGGACATAAATACAGTGTGAGGTTGTCATTTTACATCCAGGCCCAGTATGGTGTAGTGCATACCTGAGGCAACCTAGAAGAAACCTGGGGAAGGATCTGTGCCCCTGACAAGTAAGAGATTGATGACTGAGGCAAAGCCAAGGGACTTCCCACACCTATCCCATCTGCCTGCATGCTCGCTCTCCAGGAGTGGCTGAAGGTCCCTAAAAGTGTGTGGGGGAGCCACCGGTGCTCAAATTGTGGCCCTGCCCCCCCAGCTGCCCCTTCCCCCTGAGGCCTCCTTCCTGTGCTGCCTCTTCCCCCCCAAGATTCTGCCCTCCATTCTCTCCTCTCCGCCCCTTCCCCACATGTTGCTTGCCCTTACGGCCTGTAAAAAGTAAGAGGGCCATGGTCCTCTGTCCCCTCGTTCCAGCACCCCTGTTGCTATCTCACACCGTACCTGCACCTGCAACATGGAAAGGATACTCAAGGGAGCATGTGGGGTCTTACTCTTTATTACACCCCGAGGGTGGAGTCATCATGAGGCCTATTGAAGAGGGGAGAGAAAGTAAATGAATGAATGGAGGGAAATAAACCTGAAGGGGAAGGAGAAGGTAACAAAGGAAAGAAAAATCTGTGTGTTCCCAGGAATTGGGATGGGGTGTGGATAATTCAACTAAAAAAATTTCTTTGTGGTGTAAACAGTTGCATGTACTTTTACTTTGTACATTTTGTTACACTTCTGCCCACTGTGGAACTACTGTAATGCACACAAACATAGTTGGTTAAACTGCTCAAGATGAGGATTTGGGGATAAATAACTGTCCTCCAACTTGACAAATGCCCAGGTGAGAAGGAGATGACACTATGTTTATTTGTATGTTTTCTGGAGTTTAAGTAACAGCTAGAGAGGGAATTTCATGCTGTGTGTCTGTAAAAATGGAGGAATCGATGGTTTGGAATCTTCTGGAACTTTGTGAGGTCAATACACTGTTTAAGGATGAGAGCAAGAGAATGCTTTCTCTAGAAAATTCTGAAAATTAGAATGCTAGAAAACATCACGCACACATACACGCGTTTGTAAAGTTTCTGTGATGGTTCAAACTTCTCCTGATTCTTTTCTCTGTAATGGCTAAAACCACTATGGTTTTGTTGTAGTGAATGTCCTGGGGTCCAGGTTAACCTGTAGTGTTCTTGTATGTTTTTTCTTTTTTAATTTTGGCATTAAGGTTTCAGCAAAGGCCTTGTAAAATGTCTGCATAGTAAATTCATTTGTGTGTAATAGTCAGTGGAATGCTTTCCAATATGTCTAGTTGTCCAAGTTCGTTTATTACAAGTTCTGCCTTTGAAGTATATTGTGGTACTGGGAGTGGAAAAAGGATGATGCGATTGAGCTGCAAAGTTCAAGACTAGATCAGAGCTTCCTCAACGTCTGAAGGGGGTGGTACCACTGGTTTTGCTCTGCCCTAGAGATAGAAGCCAACTGTGGAAACCTGTGAAGTTCACAGATGTTCAGAGCTGGGATTCTGTTTCAGTTCCATCTCTAATAAACAAGTGAATGTTTAAAATTTGACAATCATAAGGCCTAGTCTACATGAGGGGCGGGAGGATTGATCTAAGTTACACAACTTCAGCTACGTGAATAATGTAGCTGAAGTCGACGTACTTAGATCTACTCACCGCGGGGTCTTCACTTTGGTGAGTCGACAGCTGATGCTCCCCAGACAACTCTGCCTGAGCCTCTCACTCTGGTGGAGTACTGGAGTCAACGGGAGAGCGCTCAGAAGTTGATTTATTGCATCTAGACTAGACACGATAAATCGACCCCCGCTGGATCGATCACTGCCCGTCGATCCTGCGGGTAATGTAGACAAGCCCTTAGTGTATTTCAGTGTTTTCATGATACTCATCACCGTATTATCTGAGTGCCACCCAAACATGACTGGACTTATCTCAATACACTGCTGTGAGTAAGGCAGTATTAGTATCTCCATTTAAGGAAACTGAGGCACAGAGCGTATGGGCCTTTTGTTCAATCATAGAAATATAGGGCTGGAAGGGACCTCAAGAGGCAGGACCAAGTAAACATAGGCCATACCTGACAGGGGGTTATCCAACCTGTTCTTAAACATCTCCAATGATGGGATTCCACAACCTGACTTGGAAGCTTATTTCAGAACTTAACTGCCTTTATAGTTAGAAAGGTTTTCCTAATATCTAACCTAAATCTCCCTTGCTGTAGATTAAGCCCATTACATCATGTCCTATCTTCAGTGGACATGGAGAACAATTGAAGAATGTCCTCTTGTAACAGCCCTTAACATATTTGAAGACTGCTATCAGGTCCTCCCTCAGTCTTCTTTTCTCAAGACTAACAATGCCCATTTTTAACTTTTCCTTATAGGCCAGGTTTTGTGAACTTTTTATTGTTTATGTTGCTCTCCTCTGGACTCTCCTACAGTGAGGTGCCCAGGATTGGACAGAGTACTCCAGCTGAGGCCTCACCAGTGCTGAACAGCGCAGGATAATTACCTCCCATATCTTACATGTGACACTCCTGTTTATACACCCCAGAATATTAGCCTTTTTAGCAACAGCATCACATTGTTGACTCCTATTCAATTTGTGATCCACTGTAACCTCCAGATCCTTTTCAGTAGTACTACTACCTAGCCGGTTATTCCCCATTTTGTAGTTGTGCATTTGATATTTTTTCCTGCCAAAAATAATGCTTTGCACTTGTCTTTATAATATTTCATCTTGTTGATTTCAGACCAACTCTCCAACTTATCAAGGTCATTTTTAATTCTAATCCTGTCCTCCAAAGTGCCTCCCAGCTTGGTGTGCTCCAGAAATTTTACAAGCATATTCTCCACTCCATTATTGAAGTCATTAATGAAAGTAGTGAATAGTACTGGACCCCAGGACACACTCCTCCACAATTCCACTAGATCTGTCCCTCCCCCCCCCTTTTGACAGTTAACCATTGATAACTGTTCTTTGAATAGTCTTTAAACCAGTTTTGCATCCTCTTTATAGTAATTTCATGTATATTACATTTCCCTAGTTGCCTATGAGAATGTCATGGGGGACTGTCAAAAGCCTTACTAAAATCAAGATAGATGACATCTACAGCTTTCTCTCTATGCATGAAGCCAGTAACCCTGTCAAAGAAGGAAATTAGGTTGGTTTGGCATGATTTGTTCTTGATGACAAATCCATGTAAGTTATTTCTTGTAACTCTCTTATCCTCTGGTGCTTACAAGTTTGTTTAATCATTTATTCAAGTGTCTTTCCAGGTACCAAGGTTAGGCTGACTGGTCTATATTTCTCCAGGTAGTCTTTGTTCCCCTTTTTAATGGTTGGTACTATGTTTGCCCTTCCCCATTTCTCTGTGACTCATCCATCCTCCATGAGTGCTCAAAGATAATCACTATCAGTTCCGAAATTGCTTCAGCTTAAGTACCGTAGGATGAATTTCACCAGGCCCTGCCGACTTGTATACATCTAATTTATCTAAATATTTTTAACCAGGGTTTTTTTCATATTTTGGCTATCTCCCTCTTGTTGTTAATATTAAATTGTGTTAAGTATCTGATCACAACTTAAATTTTTAGTGAAGACTGAAGCAAAATAGGCATTAAAGACCTCATTTGTCTTGATGTCATCATCTGTTATTAGCATTCCTTCACTGCTAAGCAATGGACCTATACTTTCCTTATGCTACAGGGTTAGCTTGACGTAAGCTGCCTTGCGTTGACCTAGCTGTGGAAGTGTCTTCACTTAAATTTGGCTCCTGCTGAAGTAAATGCCTCTCTATGCCGAGTTAGTAACACCACCTCCCCAAGCAACATAGAGTAATGGTGGATGTAATTAGATCGATACAGTGTCAAAGTAGAAACTGCATTGCTTATATCGACTGTTACTGGCTTTCAAAAGCGATCCCACAATGCCCCACATTGACAATACAATTGATACAAGTGTTCCTGGTGAGGATGGGCACCTCTGACACAAGGAGCCAAGTACGCGTGCACACAAAAAATTTAATAACTGTGGTGGCTATATGCCAACATAATTTTGTAGTGTAGGCATTGCCTTAGTCTTTCTCTTGCTCTTAAGATATTATAGAGCCTCTTCTTACTGTCTTTTACATCCCTTGCTAAGTGTAACTCATTTTGTGCCTTAGCCTTGCTTATCACATAGCAAGTCTGTTAGAGCAAGGTATAGAATCTCTGTCTTCTAAGTGCGAGTGAAGTTTATTCTTCACCACCACAAGACTGTACTTCCTCAGTGAGATGGAAGTTTTATCTTCCCGCTGCAATAAGACACTCTGCAATGAGCTCCAGGGGCATGATCACTGTGAAGAAGCCAGCTGTGTATGGGCCCAGGCAACCTCGAGCCATCTTGAGCAATTGCTTCCACGAAGAAGGAAAAGAGAGAATTAATTTAATGTTTACAAGTACCTTAGTAAAACTAATTGCGATTAGAAGAAATACATCTGTTCATTTAGGAAACCGTGAACTCAAAGAGGGGTTTTGCATGTGTGAGTGAAGTATGCCAGAATTATTAGCCTTTGTATAGCAATGGAAAGTGTTCTGGTTGCCAAAATGTCCTAAAAAGTAGT